ACTATAGTATATTAAAATTTTTTTGTTGATTTTTTGCTGATATTTTTATTATTGAGTAGTAGCAATAAAAAATAATTATTAATCTTTTTATTATTATATTTTACAAATTTATAAAACTTTTTCTATAAATTCCTGATTATCACTTCTAAAGAAGCATTTTATCAAAACTCTATGTTTTAAGAGTAATAAACTTCAAAATCCTTCCTAAAAACACCTGCTCAGTTAACAATAGTTATAATTATACTTTATCTTTCTTGTTTACTTTTTCTTTTCAAAAACTTCCTACCTAAAAAGTTAATGGCAAGAAAATATTTTTAGAAAGAAGAACCAGATGAAAAATACACTCTCTCCCTTTTCTATTAAGGTCCCAAAGCTTAAAAAAAAAGTATGGGCCAATAATTTCATACCAGCCTGAAAAACTAATATCAATATTATAGGTAGAAATGGCTTCTCTTTCAATATGCTACAGTTTTTCTTGATATTTTGAAGAATTTTGCCTATTCCAACTTGACTTTGAATTTTTTGTTACATCATATTTTGGATAGATTAATTGATTAAAGATTGAGATTGGTTACTCCATGATTGGCAGAAATATAAACAAAAATATATATGTCATGTGATGTATGTATTTTCTAAGTTTCATAAGAATCTTAGATTTATTATAAGTTATTAACTAGTTATACAGATTAATAAATATTTACATGAACTATAGCCTTCTCTCTTTTATTTCCTCCTAAAAGTATTATGGCTATAGAATAAATACTTCTTTAGAAACAAAATTGTATGAAAGAGTTGTTGTTAGGCATCCCTTTTTTTCATTTTTTCTTTTTGTAAATATTTCAACTTTTCCTTCTTATTTTTCTTCTCTTTTCCTTTTTATTTTTTTTCTCTTTTCCTTTATTTCTCTTTTTTTATATTGACTGGTTTTCGACTAGTATAAGTGGTCTTTAATATTAGATAGTAATGAATATCTTGAGCAAGTCCTAACAGATTAAGCCCTTTAACAGGTGGCGACAAGCTGATTGATAGATGAAAATCCTAGATATCACTAAACCAATAACAAGAAGAATCCAGTAATACATTATTGAGCATATCTGTTCAATCCTCTTTTTATTATTAGAAGAGATTATTTACATTAAACAATTATATATTTTTCTAATTCTGGTTAGGTTAGACTTATATCGAGTTTTGTAAATAAATAGTCCTTTATACTATTTCCTTTCTAATTATTTGTAAATTCTCAGACAGTACAGAAAGATATTTATCCCAATTGTTTCTAAATATGATCTTCTTTTAATAAAGTAATCAGGAATGATATAGAATAAGCCAATGTTTAAAAAAATTTTTACAAATTTGATAATAATTTAACTATCAAATGATATAATTTTGACTAGTACAATTATAGTTTTGAGAATATAATTATAATATTTTTATATTGATTGGGATTATTTATTTTGCTTCTAAATTAAAACTTAGATATTTATATTATATAATATATATTTTAATCTTGAACTTGATATTTACTTTATAGATATAAACATTTTAAAAAATTTTTTTTAAACCTGTGGTTAGGTCAGTATAATACATTTATTAATTTTTAAGAAAACTAATAGAGATATATTGGGCAAACTAATCTCATACTGACTCACTTATTAATAGCTTTTAATTCTCAAATAAGCTTAAGCCTTTAAGTATAATCTTGGAAACAATATTTTGCTCTGAAATAAGTTTTAGATAAAGATTCTTCTAATTTAACTATTATTGCTAAGAGGTTGTTACTATTTATTATCCTCCAAGAAATTGATTTTGAGAAACTACTATAGAAAAAATAAAAAATAAAAGAAATAAAAATATCTAAAAATATATAAATGTATATATATAAAGAGAAAATAAAAAATAAAAAATAAAGATGTTTATATTCTCCAAAGGACTTCTATTAAAATAATATTTTTATTAAAAATCAATCCTTCTAAGATATTTTTTTTTTCTCTAATTATTTAAGGAATCCATCTATTTATAATCTTGATTATTTTTTTGTGACTATCTGAAGTATTTATCACCTACTCAGATCCAATATCTTGTTTATCACTTTTTTTTTTAGTATTGATTTTATATTTATTTATACAGACCTTAATAGTTTATAGTGAACCTTAAGTTCTTATATAACCTTTCAGTTATATTGTATAATCCATAATATTTTATAATAGCCATATCTAATTAAAGAAATTTTACTAATAAGTATTTTCTATTGCCCAAAAAGCTGGACTTCCAATAGTCTTTTTGTCTTGCAATGGTGGAATAGAATTGCAAAGTAATATGGATATTTGTTAATTATAAAATTATTATACAATATTTGAGAAATATATTCTGAATTCTAGAGAAATGTAGTGGCTTTTAGTTTTTTGCTTTTCAATCTTATTGTTAGAACAGGATAAAAAAATAATCTCCTTTATGTATTTTGTCTAATCAGAATAATAGGATGTTGAAAATTTCAGCTTGAACAAATAATTACTTTTTCACTACCTAAAAAATTTAATGTTTATTCATAATTTCTTTACTTTAGTTATACTTTATTTGGAGAAGTAGAGAATTTTATATCAATAGATTTTTTTTTTTCATCAACATATTATTGGAATATATATAGTTAATATGATTAATGAAATTTTGGTTATATTTTATTACCAATGTGTTTCATATTAACTAATTAGAAGATAGATAATATTATACTATCAAAATTTAAGGTCAAGTTGAAATAGGCAAAATTTTTTTAAAAAATTGTGAAAACTCTAAAAGGATAAGAGACTGTATATGAAAAGATGGATAATAAGCCTTCCCCTACCTAAAAAATCTCCATCTCTATATTACTTCCAGCTCTGAAAGGTAACATTTTATTAATTGGTTCTTTTACTTTTTAAAACTTTCTTGTTTTTAGTAAAGAAAATACATGCTTAAGTCTATTTAGGCTATTAGAGATCCAAGCTTTTGCTTAAAGAAGTTTGTAAACAAGTAGGAAAGGGTAGTGGTGACTTTTTAAGATAAGTTTTAAGTTGTTCTAAGAAAGTAAGAAGATTTTATTAGTCAAGAAGTATAAAAACTTTATGTGAATGTTTTTATTGTGTGTAATTAGAGAATTAGTAGATAAAGTTTTTTATAAACAATTTAAACTTTTTCATTTCTTTTTAAATGTTTAAATATATAGTATTTATTAATTTTTTAATCTATATCTATTAGATAAATATACTAAATAATATTGTGTTAAGTTCTTGAAAGACTTTTTTATTTAAAATTTTTCTAATTTTTTATATATTATATATAATATAAAAAATTATTTGCTAAATAATAAAATTGTTTTTTTTTTAGTTTGTTTTCTCTATATATTCTTTTTCTCTTGTACCCAAAGATTAGCTACTTATTTTCATTAATAAATTTTTCTTCAGGAAATTCTTTTTTTCTTGTAGTAATTTTAAGATATTATCCAGATATATCTTAGTTTTGTTTTCGGTTTCTTTTAAAATATCAATAGTTATTGCTCCTAGTTTATAAATCTCTTTTTTTTATATAGTAAAGGTTTATTGATAAAACTAGTTCTTTATTTCTAATGACATATAAGTTGTGTTCACTAATAGAATAATTTTTGATCTTTTTTTTGAAACCTTTGTAACTTAATTTTTTCTGTTTCTAGGCATATATCATTATAATTTCCTTGTCTATTGTTGACTCGATATTTGATTGTTTAATGATTTCTATTGATTAGTGCTTTGATTTATATAGATTTTCTAAATTTTTGACAATTTTCAGAAACTTATCTTTTATATAGAGTTATAGAAAATCTTTTTTGTTTTCTTTTCTAAATTACCAGAGATATATAAAATGTTGAATCAAGATCTGTTCTTTGTAAAATATTGGTTTATTGATTTTTAGTATCTTTGTAATAATATTATCTAGAATAGTATAGCTAAAGCACTTTAGAATTTATAAAATAACATGCAAATAAAAACTTAGTCTATAAAGTCGACAATCGATAATAATTGAAACAAATTTAGAAAATATTCAATTAAAATATGCAAGCGAAAACTTACCGTCTATAAGTCGACAATAGATAACATTGGCCAAAGCACTTTTCAGAATTTGCGAAACAAATATTAGAAAATATGCAGGCGAAAACATACCATCTGTAGTATTGAAAATGGTAATATACAGTAACTAAATCCCTTTTTTCATAATATACGAACCAATTCAGAAAATACAGTATGTATGCAAGATTGGACGATCGATAATATAGTTAAAGCACTTTCTTCATAATTTGCAAAACAATTTCGAAAATATGCAAGGAAAAAAGCTTACAGTCTATAAGTCGACAATTGATAATATAGTTAAGTATTGATAAATTTAAAAAATATGTAAGCGAAACCTACCCCCCATAATGCAATAATCGATAATTTATTGCAGGCCGGTAAAATTAATTGTATTTAAAGAATGTATAATCAGTTAAATATGTTTAATAAATGAGAAAAATTCAAGTACTCTTAATATTACCTAATTTTTTTTTTTTTTCAAAAACTCCCTATCGCGGTCACGTTAAATAGTGACTAGTGGTATGTTATTTATGCAGCGTGCCAGTTTAACTCATTCAAACATTTATTAAATAATGAATTTATTGTCTTTACAGTGTGCAAGCTTTATTTAAATAAATAAGAACTCTAACAATGACAAACCACGAAGAAAAAAAATGAATATTATACAGTACAATACTTGAATATAAAAAACCGATCTATAATTCTACTTAAAATCTTTTATGCATTATCATATCTAATGGGTTCCTTGCCTTTATTCTTTCTCATTGATCCATTTGACTCGTTTCTTGTGACAGATACCGTCGAAACATGTGAACTCGCGCGTGCAAGAGGATTGGCGCTAATTGTCGTCTGTTTTTTCATCGTCAACTGGTAAAACAAGATGAAGTTAATAAAACGACATTATATTAATAACAATCATACATATCACGCGTAACATTTTCTCACATTTATTCTGTCCATCGTAAATTTATATGCTTCATAAGTGTGTTCCACCAGCAAGGACATAGGGAAAGTATCCACCAACTCTTCGTCAATATTAGGTGGCCATAGACTCAACGTCATATCTGTCAAATACGTTGACAACGGATGCTTCTCCTTATTGCTTTCTACCGACAAGAACCTTTGCATAAATCGCTTAAGAGCAATCGCAAAGGCATCGGCCGGTAATCTCTGTATCTGGGTTGACTTCTGTTCAAAGTCGACCGCCTCTACGATTTCATCCTCCAAACTTCTATCCAAAGCAACAGTAAATTTCTCGGGAATATATTTTATTGCCAAGTTCGCCACCTGATCCTCTACTAACTCGTACAATGCTATAACGTGTTTAAGATTCAGATCTATGTCTAGTAAATTTTTGTATTCTGTATCTATCATTAAGTTTGATAGTTTCATCCATTGGTCCACAAAATCCTTTAGTAAGATTTCCCCATCTCCAACTGACGTTCTCTTGACAAAACATAAAAGAATTTCCAAAAATGATAAAAGCTCTGATGCATTATCTATCGAGTAGTTGGTCAATGTCGGTTGTTGATATACATTGATCGATGTGCCTGTGATAATGGAAATCTTATCAACTGGAATTGGTTCTTGCGGAATTAAAACTTTGATCTCTCCTAAGATTCTCATAGAGCCTTGGAATAATTCCATGTGATATGGGAAGGGATCCATGTACAGTTGTTGCTCAGCTCCACCTTCAATATGAACCTTCTCGAAAACAAGTTGTTGTGCGAGTTTTGACTCGATTACTGATAGATCAAAGATGATGTCCTGACCGCGTCCAATTCCAAGGTTATGTTGACTATACTGGAGAACTGACTCGTCCCAATCGTAATTAATGAAATTTTCCTCTTGCATTAGTTCAATTTTTTTAGATCTCATGTAGTAAGGATTGGGAGTGGCCGTAGCAGGTTCCGGATCTTTGGATGATGAAGGAACTGTGTCATCTACCTTCCAAGATGATTCTTGTAAGAATCTGAGAGATTGGCATGTTCCGGCAGGAATGTCCATCACCTCTTGCAGAAAATTATTTTGTAAAGTGACCAGATATTCTAAAATTGCACATAAGAATATTCCCGTATCCCTTCCTTCCATCAAACCAAAAACTATTGGACTATTGACACTGATCTTCGGTTTTTCCTCGGGTAGTGTGTGACATTGATACCTGGTCACGTGGTCAATTATCAAATTCCAGGATTTTGCAAACTCGTTAAATGCCGAGGTCAAGGTTTCGAATGTTTCCTGTAAATGACCTTTGTTCGATTCTTCCTCTATAAAGTTCTTGAAAGTTTTTCGCTCAGCCTCTTTCCTGGTCAATCGGTATCCAAGTCGGGAAGACAAAATTTGAACAAATTTCACAATGGGGTAAAGATGTTTTATGTGTGGATAGTTCTTGAAGTGCTTGAAGTAAACGGAAAGGAATGGGAAAGACTTCTTGTTGAGCGCAATGTCCTTGAAGTAAAAAGCCCTGAAGCTTTCAAAGTTAATAACACCGATTGTTCTCCATAACCTATTTGACAATTAATTGAGTTATTTAACGAGATTTGATTTATTTGGGAGGAAAAACAGTACGCATACAGGATAATTAAAGTCTTACCTTGGTAAATATTCTTGACAATATTGAATGTCCATTGGAAATGTTTGGTTGATTTCACCTTCTATGAGATTACCGATGACTTGTGCATCATTCAGTGCTTGGTCCAGCCGAGTTCGGAAATTCGTCGCTGTCTCGGCAACGCTTATAATCTGTGGTGTGACATAAATTTGAGTGAAGTGATCTTCCCAATCTTCTCGTGCGAGCGATGTGTTCAGAACGATAGGATGGTTGAAAGGAAATTTGATCATCAAATTGACAATAGAATGAATCAATGATGCCAGATTTTCGTCCGAGGCGTTAAGAATTTTTTTGAGAATTTCCCAATCATTTTTAATATGGTCCATGCAATATTTTTCTGCATTATTAGCATTATCGTTGTTTTTCTTTAAAAAGTTGGTTAGTACCGAAGGCTTGGACACCGAAATAATCGCATGAACGAAAAAGTGGAGTATCCTGTAAGAAGCGGGTGACATCTTTCGAACGCAGTAAGTAGGGTCATTGTTAAGTGGCTCTCCAATATACCCGGACTGGTCTTTAGCCGTTATCGCACTAATAGGGGCGGAGTCAATGCGAGTATTGCCTAACAAGAAGTAAGGCGATGGTTTCAATTTCATGCTTAAAGAGCAGAAATATTAGGTAATCAACCATGAAATATTACCTGCGGCAATGTTATATTTCGTACCACCAATTTTATTCTTACATTCGGGACATGTACTCTCTACGACAGCCCCACCACAATTAGCAATCACGTATTTAAGTCCGCACTTGCACGAGTACCTGCAAAGTTTTGGCGGTTTTCGAAGGTGATATTTAATGCATAATTAAAAAATGCGTCGACCAAGAGATCATTAAACTCACCTAGTAACTCCTCCTTCGGCAACTGCATTAAACAACATTGATTCCACGTCCGATTGACACGCTAAGACAAAATCATCTCGATTACCTTGCAAGTTATGCAAGTATCCGGCTAAAGTTGACGTCTCCGTTGGCAGTGACGCGTGTGCTCCGATAACGTACGCTAATACCGACTTCATAATTAACTCTCCGCTGCTGATCCCTGCGTCAAGTTTAAATAGGAAATGATCGTTCGACAGAATACTCTTAATGATCTGTTTGTATGCTTCTGGAAGACTCATTTCCGACTCGATTTCTTTGAGCAGATATTCGGCAACTTGATTCTCCGGATCAAGCCATTCTCGTGTAGATCGCACGAAATGTAAATTCGCCGCGGCTATTCCGAACATAGAAAGACGAATATCAATTGAACTGTCTTGTTTTAATCGCTGAATGACTTGGGTGAAGGGTGCCTTGTTGTTAACGTTATAGAAATTGGAGAAAGCCTTTTCTGTTTCAGCATGGCCGTCAACTGACCAGTATGGATTGAATGGCAATCGACCTTGTTCATTATTGTCCCACTTGAAATCGTTAAACCTTTTTTTTTTTTAGGAAAAAAAAAAAAACATCAAATCAAAATTTAGTAACGTGTTTGCGTGTCAGATTCCGTGAGTATGAGATAAATACCATGGCAAGAATTCTGACTGCGCTTCGCAAAATCGTCTTATTTCGTCACTGGCAAATCCTCTTTGTCGCAAGTCCCGAAGGAAATAGATTTTAAGCGAATGTATCAGCGGGTGTGGCGAACTTATTGAACTATTAATGTCAAAGAAGAGTTGATTTCCACCAGATTCCACGACTGAAAAATTTACGGATCCATCAAGGCTATCTTGTATAACTAAATTCCATAATAGCCGGGTAAACTCTTTGAGAAATGCAACCGATGCAATCCTTTGCAGCGGTTGTACTTGGGCATCAACCAATGCAGCCGCAGCGTGACGATAAAAGGGAGCCATCTGATTAAAACTTGCTCCCGAGAAAAACTCTTGTTGAATTGTGTCGCAACATATTGCTGCCATTGGCGAATCCAGTTCGGTGATTTTAAGGCTTTTGTTGATTATGCTAAGTCGAGGTGAAAGACCGAGGGTGTCAACTGGTTGGGTAATCAGTTTGATGAAAGTATTTTTGTTTTTAGTTTCTTCGGTCTTAAAAATTCTAAACACTATAACCCTCATTAACGGGAGTGGTTCGTGGGTGAACAAGTTTTTGTAGAGGTTGAGACGCACTTTTGACTCGACGGGTATTAACTCTAAACATCTCAATATGAATGACCTCTGAGCAACCAAATTCTCCTCACCCTGAGGGAATTTGGCAAACATTCCTAAGACCGTGTTCACAAAATCGGTCGAGAGTATCTCATTGAAATTACCGTTTAACCCCAGTCGTACGATTTTTTCCATATTTTGACGTGTGAACGATGTGGTGGCGAGCAGATCATCGCAGAATTTTAATATCTGAAGGGATGGCAATCTTGAGGATCCAGGAATTTTTTGACTCAGCGCGATGATCTTGCCAACTTCATGTCTCCATTGGTCTGATTCCAGGTAATGAATCTCCGCACCTTTTGAACTATCCCCGATTCTCTCTAACATTATTCTTGAGGCCTCTTCCACCAAGAATCGCTCAAACGCGGAATCCTCGGTCACCTCGGCTTCATTAATTTGCATGATGATCGAAGGGATCATCTGTGCCAACTGGAGTTCTGCCAGAATCGAATTTCCATGTTTCCACCAATATGTATGCAAAATCACTGGATTCAATATTTTTTCGGTTCCAAGTCTCCGGGTAAATACGAACTCGAGTATATCCGGATCCTTGTTGCCCGGTTCATTATATGCAATGACAGAAACGAAGTCTTTAAAATACAGCTTCGGAGCTCGATCAATTGGAGATGACTTGAAAATAGGAACCATGTTGAAAATGTTTTTGGTGAATTCTTTAATGTGATTCTCAACTACTTGCTGGTAAAGTTCTCCAGTAAAGGGATCAATGTTGTCAGAATTATTGCGTAGCATGTCAACTTCTTCTATGTATAGGGTTTTGAAGTTGTCAATTTGCTTCATGAAATAGTAAGAAAATGGAAACTTGAGATCGTAAATTCCAGGCGGCATATTGTAATTATCAGGTGAAGGTTCCGGTAATTCTTCGATGTTAATAATCTTGTTATCATTAAACATTCTAAACCAGAAATCAAGTAGTTCACTATTCTCTTTCGACTCAGTCGGCCCGTCTAGATTAAAGAACGTCCTGGTAACTGACAATCTCTCGAGAGCACACAAAACCCTTGCGATTGGTTTTCTAACGAACGATCTGATGTAAGCTTGTAACGCCACAGAAAATGAAGAGTATGGATACAATAATTTCTTGCTAGATGCCACGTTGTATTGCCAATTATCCGGAGAATGTTCTTGAAGCCATTCTTGTGCTTGTTGTTTGATGCATTTAATCAATCTCGGATGATTATAAATTTGTGAATTCAGAATCCTAAAAATTTAAGTGTGTGGGTGTCATTAGTTAAATATGACGTTTGTCCACGTCAAAATGGAATTGCAAAACAACATCATCGATATTAACCCACTTGATGTGTTCAATGGCTCGATAGTTTGAAGGGTATTTCATGCACAGCAAACACCAAAGCAATTCCTGCGACAAAATTTCATCAAATGGATATGCGGTGTTTATGACATCGCACAAGCTTCCTCCCAAGAGCATCGAAAGAGATTTTTCTTGTGGCACCAATGTCTCGATAGTCACTTGATCCCAGCCACACATGAAATTAAACGAAGCCAAAGAATTTTCTTGCTCGCGGTGAACGTGCAATATGATGCAACAGTGTTTTGCTTGTAAATTCGCCTCCGACCTTTGCTTCCTTTTCATTAAAAATTCATTTCTAAATTGTTCGATAATGAATTTAGCCAACTTAATGCATCCAGCGTTAACGGTGGTGACATCACATTGGAGAACCAACATCTGGTGAGCGGATTCCAACCAGAAGTGCTTCACACGATTTTGAAGTTGAGATTCGGTCTTGAAGGTGGAAAGTTTATCCACCTGACAACTGATCACATTCTCCAGGCATGCTTTGATATCGGTGTTGATATTTGAGAAGGTGTTGATAATAACTTGAAGTCCATCCGGATTATTCTTGGCGACCATTGGATCATCAAGTAGCGCATGGAAGTGATCGGAAATGCAATCGTGATGTTGAACCTTGAAGTAAAAATTCTTCCAGTAAAGTTTTTCCTCTTGACTTAGAGACGATCTTTCCGCTCGAATAATGCCATCCGAAGAAGCTATGGCAATCAATTTTTCTTTGCATTTATTGATAATTACGTTTTCTTCTTCATCCGGATAACTCTTGGTCAAATCGATTACCAAGCTCTGTAAGGTTTCGTCCGAATCAAACCCAATGAAGAGATCCTTTAATGCAAATCTCGCGTTAGCGTCATGCATGTTTTTTACAGAGACCGAAGACATTTGTTTTGCCCAGTCAAATAGCTGCTGAACCATTCCATTTTGATTATCGGAGAGCGTGTCGTTGATGGTCATCCTTTGTTTTTCAAATCGATTGAGAAGTGGTGGATCAGCGCTCTCGAGTTTCTTTTCATCCAATACCAAAATGCATCTGAAGGTCTTTGCCACATAACTGTCAAATGATGATGTTAGAACACTAGTGTCATAAACTACTTCATTGCAAAATCAAAAATAACAAAAGAATGAACACTTGCAGCATGGGATTTGCATAAGCACCGAGAGCTACTCTTGTATAGTATTTTGGATCATCCGCACTACCAACTACAATGTAATTCTGATTCCATAGGTCATAAAGACTTCCTGTAAATTTAACGGTATTAAGTTATACGGCAACTTTATTTTTTTTTTTTTTTGAAATCATAGGTTGAGTTGGTTAATATTATTACCATAGATGATTTCTAGATCGGTTAAAATCAAAGGCCTTCCTGCTTCAACGCACATCTATAAATTCAAGAAACATTGCGTCTCAATTTCACAAGCAACTTCATTCGCGATAATAATTAAACTGAAACGCACCATGATCCTGCTCAATACACTGTAGGAATAGTCATCTTGATCGTCGGGAAACTGTGATCCCAGTATAACTACAGGATCCAAACCCCTCTTTCTCAGTTGGTAGGTCAGCAAGTTCACAATGGAATCACTTTTTCCAATAACCATCAAATGCCTCGCTCCCTCGTCATCCAAATTTGCATTAATAAGATCTTCGACGGGTATCGGTTTATAGAACCAATGCCGGGAATTGTTGAAGGCGCGTAAAACTTCACCAAAGAACTCTTCGCATAATCTTGCATTTTGATCTGTGCCACCGAAATTACGAACCAACGCCATTTGAATGTTTTCAGGTGTCAAATCGCCAAGCGACAAACTTTTAACGAGGGCATAATAGTCACGAAGGCCGTGAAAATTCGGAAGGGCTTGACCCCGTTTTTCGTATTCGGAATAAGCTTTTGCTAATGGTTGAAGAGATGCTTTTGTTATTTGGGTATTTGTCTTGGAGTGTAACAATCGAACAGCTGTATCCACGAGATCTTCCTGGTCGAATTTTGGTCTAACGACACAAAAAAAAAAAAAAAAAAAAAAAATATAGCATTTAGACCATCGACAAAGATGTAAGGTTTGCCAACTAGATGTTCCGTGACTCACCGCTGCACCAATAAAGCCCTGCTGCTTTTACTGTTATCCAATCTCCAATTGGAAATCCCGACAACTGATACCGAAGGACCGTCCGACGGATAACTTGGTTCAAGTAATGAGTGAAGTACTTTTAATGGATTAAATGGACTGGTTTCTGCAAGACCGACTACAAATTTCCATTATAAAACATAAAAGTACGCGTGATGAATTAAAATCAGGAAGAAGAGCTTTGAAAAAAATTCGTGAAATACCTTCATCAAGCAAAACGACACTGATAACCGGAAATTCCTTGGAACTTGTTTCTTGATAATTAACAGCTTTTTGGAAAACTTTGAGAATACCATCAGATGTTGACGATGATGAACCTTGATGAGGAATAAGATAAACCTATTAACGCACAGAGCCAATTGATTAGCAAAGTGATTCGCAAGTGTAGTGACAACATTTAAACACAAAATGTACCTGCGGAAGATTCCGGAAATATTCATCATTGGAATCAGAACCGCGGAGATTTTGACTCACAAGCCTGATGGCTAAAGATTTTGAGGAGCTACAAAGGAAGAAACATAATGTATCCATCTTTCATAATAAAGAATCGCACCTCCAAATTTCTAAATTCACGTTTACATACCCCGGAGCCCCAATAATAAAGACTGGGATTTTTGTGAGAATGCAGACAATCATAACCAAAACATTTTCTAATAGCGCCTCATTCTTTGCGGTATTTGGTGGACACGTCATCCTATTCACATAATCCTCTTGTTCCTGCCGAATGGCATGATTGAATAATCCTTCATCGATGAATACACCGTGCCTTCTCAAAATCTCACACATTTTGACTCTATATTTTTTTCTTAGCATTTGATCGTACAATCTCGATTGATAGCATAATCCCATCGATAAAATGTAACATCGCATTGATAAAGTTAGTTCACCTTGCGGCGGATACCTCGGCGCATTTCTACGGGGTGGTCGATTTTTCAAACTCTTGTAAAAGAAATCGACGAGTTTGATCGCTCTCTTGACATCACGTAAGCTAACGCTATAGGGCTCTTCGGATGTACGAATAAATTGCTGGGACTCGAATAAAAGCTCGGGTAAGACTTGGTGACTTAACTCCTTCAACGAATCCGACACCATGATGGTGATGTACTTCTTTTCTTCCTTTGGTTGCAAGACACCATAATCCCAAACATAGTCAAGGATTTGGTCGGGGAGAGGTTTTACTTGATAGACAAGGTGACTTTGTTCCTCGTATTTCCTGGTCTCCTTAGTTTGCAGACCGACTTCGCTCTGAGCTTTGGTACGAATGCGATATGGATTGCACGCCGCGAACAATCTTATATTAGAATGAATTTCCTTTCCGAGAAGCATTCTGTGAGCAATTAGATCGGCCAAGAGGCCGATGTGGTTGCACGTGTTGATCTCATCGAAAAACAGCCAGATCTCTTTTTCTTCGGCCTTTGCCTGAGCATCACTCATGAATTGTAAAATTGTGGCTTCTGTGATACCGGCGTGGAGATTTAACGGATAAAATTCAACTTCCACAACTCTGGCCAAGAATCCAATTAAACTTGTCTGCATGAAAAAAGTGATGTATTAGTAGATCGACCGACGAAACCACAAAGTTTACAATGATAACAGCGAATTAAGTTTATCATTCTCTGATCAGAATCTTACCTTTCCACATCCAGCCTCGCCACAAACAATGACCGGAATGTTCGCACGCGCTCTTAGCAAAATTAAGGCCATCTTCAATAAATTATCGGCCGACAGCGCGTATTGAGGGTACTCGATTTCATGTATGGTCTTTCTAGCTATGCATTCTAATTTCACCAATAAGGTTTCCGCATCCATCCTATTATAATCTTCCAGTTCCCATTTCTTTTCCCCGATATATTGACTTTTCAGCAAAACTCTGACGTTATTTGGAACTTTGTTCTTGTTTCGATACAAAGCGCAAATGGAATCCGGTGTTTGTGACAAAAAGAACACCAACAAATGATTTGAGTCGTCCCATTGCACGATTGTGCCCAATCTTTCGTTGCCATCCACATTGGTGGACTCTATCTGTGCTGCTTTCGTCTTTATCGATCTAGTGGCAAAATCTTTGGAAACCTGAAGTAGAGTTTCGAGGAGAGTCTTTCGTATGGTCTTATCCATCACCATTAACTTCAAATTATCCACTTTAAAGAACGAACTTGATGACAGACGAACTAGTTGATCGGCCAACACGTTGACAAATATTTCTACAAATCTAAATGAAAATATATCGTCCGTGCTCGCGTTAAACAAATATGTGTCAAGGAGTTGTTGGCATCTTTGAGCACTCAAAGGTTGCAACGAATCATCATTGAAGGTAATGTCTTTTTCGTCAAGTGTCGAAAGCTCATAGGCGTCAAAATAATGACAGACAACTTGAATGGGACTATTGAGTTCCCGGGAAATTACCAGGTTCTTTATGTCCCAAGTAAGATGAATGTTGGCAAGATTTTCAACCATAGGTAAAGATTTCAGCAAAGTCTGATTGATAGTGGACGCAATTTCGATATAAACAGGGGTATCAGGTAGACACGCAATGTCCATATTACTTGACACCATGCCTAAAGTCAATAATTCAAACAGGAACGTATTGACATCTAGAGGAAAATCGGCGGAGACTATGTTTATATGTAAACTTTCTATAGGTCGGATCTTGAATTCTTTCAAGTGATGAACCAACGTCCCGAAATCCACTTCGTCGCTAATCAAGAAACTACGAAGGATTTTGCGTTTCGAAAAACTGAATTGCCTGATATGTTCCGTTTTTCCCTGACCGGAAAGGTCCGAAGATACACAAAACGCATTAGGACATAATTCCTGATATATCTTTTTCATGGCTTCAACGCCAAGACCGGAAGTTGCGTGTACATCCTGACTAAATTGATCCAAGATGTGATGATGCATTCCAGCTTCTCGACAGCATATGAGGGCCAAAAAATAATCCGGTTGCATTTCTCGCATCCTTCGGATATTGTTGACAAGGTTGTATTGTAACTCGAAATCGAGAAGTTCCAGGTTTGCAATGCAGAACAAGTGATTGTTATATCCATTTTTAGCCGCAAAGAAACATCGCTTAATGAAAATCGCAAGTTCTTCCATAGTTGTTAGCGCGGTGCACAAAAGTAGTTGCCATGGCTGAGGATAAGATCCATGGTTAGCATATAGTGACATGATTATGTTCGGAACAAGAGTCTTGTCGCCACAGGCAGCCACAAATAACTTTCCACGATATACTATGTCTGAGGCTACGCGACCTCCTTTGAATTCGACTCGGCGAAATTGCCTTGGAATCTTTTCGAAGGTTTCTTTTAATTTGCTCCCTATTTGACAGAGAATATGGTAGTAATCTTGTTTTTGCAGATATTCGCCATATTCGGGAGATCTATCAGGCAAGGTAGCGCCGTTGTTTACAAATCTTATGAGAGTGTTGCACTCCGAATCACTTGTCTGCTTCTCGAATGTAAAATAGTCATAGAACGCCAGTATATGTCGAGCCGGGAAGAAAGTCAGATAATAGTGTTGCTCTTGAGCCTTGTTCACGATGTCCTCCCTGAAACATGATACTTGAATGAACGAACCACTCGCATAAAAATGAATGAAATAATTTACCAAAAAAAAACATACCACTGCTCAAGTTGTTCTTTTAACTCCTGCTCCAGTTGTTGTAATGCGGTTGTTCCTTTGACAGACTTCTTGAAATTTCGATATCCAAAATGCCCCATCAGTATTAACTTTGATGCCACATTTAATACTTCTTGTGCTAAATCCACTTGAACCACGAACTCATCCATAATATCCTTTGACACATCCTGCATTACCGACCCACTAACAGTGGCAATTGCCAAATCCACGGCCGCCGCAGGTTTGGCAATTAGTAGGGCACGCCCACGAAGATCTTGCAAATCGCTTAGAGAGTATGGCTTAGTCTCGGTGTTTGATGGGTACGTCAACAGAACGGAACAATTATCATTCTTTTTGGTTCTTTGGAATGTGTATGTACCTTTCTTCACGGCATTTCTGATCTTCTCTTTGGTCACTTCGCCACGATTTGATATGTTGTTGTACATGTTTTGTAATGCCATGTTGCTACTATTACACAACGCAATTTTACTACCTAAAGACGGGTTCGCATCGGTGATACCGCGCAGCTCGTGCAAAAATTCTTTAAGTGATAATTTCTCTGCGCAATTAAGTAATGGCAATAGGAATTGTTTTACTTGAATGAGCGACGACACGGTATCTTCCTGAATAAGTCGCTCATCCGAATCGTCCACCCCATTAATCAAGTTTTTAATATCATGCTCGGCAACACTTCGAAGGAATATGATGAAATCGCTGGCGATAGATAACTCCTTAATCAATTCCCAACAATTTTCATCAACCTCCGAAAGGTGCTTATTATATATTTCGAAAAAATCCACCAGCTTTTCTAACCACAGATAATCCTTCTCGAGGACAAATATTAATTTTTCGAGCCAATCGTTAGTTGTATGGGTGACCTTAAACATAGCCGCGACTGCTGACAATTGTCGAAGCCTTTCAATTTGCTTTGGAACTTGAGATAAATAGCCAAGGGTTTTAATCAATTTTTCATTCCTTTCTATTTTTACATAGTCTCTCATCAAATCAAGTTCCAGGTTAACATTGGTAACATTTTTCCACAGGATGCTACCATAAGAACATAAAAGTTTTTCCCATCCCTTATAACTTCTACACAACTCATCATAACTCTCAAACACTTTCACCATAAGACTTTGCGCCACCTCCTCGACAGTCAAATCGGCCTCCTCGGCTTGAATTTTAGAGTCAAATATGTTTCGGAAGATTTGGGACTTGGAGAGCTTAAAGGCGCGTTCTGCGGATTTCTCAACTTTCCTGTAAAAATGCCAATAATCGACCCCCTGAGTTTCTTTAAGCTTAACTTTTTTCAATTCCTTTATCCGCTGATCGAGGTTGTCAAGATAATCCTGAACATCCTTAACTTTTGCATGCGGGCAAAACTGACTGAAAAAGATTCGGAATTGATCCAACTTTTGTTCATGATCAGAACACTGCTTGCGTAATTTGTTGATATCATCATCTCCAAATAAAACTGGCCTCGGATTATCCGTTCGGACGACGGCGGAATCGAAAAACCGAATCAACTTTTCATTGTCGTATTTGAGTATCTCCTGTAAACATTGAACGGTGATTGATCCTCCTTTGATAATATCGTGAAATTGACGTATTGTATTTCGAACATGAATGATATAGGGATGCTCGTTTAAACGTTGAACATGACCAGTCGAATTCAAGATCAAAGTCCAGAATCTTGCAGAATTAAGTAAGGACAACGAGGTTGAGGAAATATTGCCATCGGCGGTCGAAGGTTGTTGACTTTCTAATTTCTTCATGATATATAACAGTATTTCCTCATTTAAACTGTAAACATCAAATGAATGTTGGAATATTAATTTAAAAAACGTCTTAAAACTTTGCAGAAAAAAGAAAAAAAGAAAAAAATCAATCAATCGGTATTCTCACTTATGCGGAACTTCAATAACTCTAGAATTACATCCACATATGTATTGAATTTTCAATAATAAATTATTGTCTGCTGATTTGACAGAGTTCTCCAATATTCCTTGAACCATCTCTCCAAAATAAGCATATATTTTCGGTTCCAACTTTGTAATATGAGGTGTCGCTTTAAGTATTCGACTTTCTTGACATTGCTTGATCCGATCGATGGCGATGCCCATCAATCGGGTAAAAATCTCTGTATGTATTCCAATGTACTTATACATACCGGACAATACTTCAAATATGTGAAGTACAAACTGCCAATCATTGACCTCTGATGAAGGCATGTTGTCGGCGAGTTGATCCAAGAATTGCTGATACCAACTACTGCAAATATCCGAAATCTTTTCAGAGGGGTTTTTGAAAAGCGTAAACCAATGTTCAAGCAAATACGGGAAAATCTCTAACAAAAACCATTTTGTGGATTGGGAAATTAGCTCAAGAGCTTCGGAGAAGTCCTCTTCTTTCCAATTGAATTGTGAATTTCGCAAGATAGATAGCACAGCCTTCGCATTCCCCCTGCTCCACTCGAGATTCACGTAACCAAACAATCTTAATGTTCTTCTGCGGAAAACTTCAGAAACTTCGTCTCGCAATTCGGGCGGTATTTTCTCAAATGATATTATGAGACCCATCGCATCTCCGGCAGATATAATTTCTTGAATTCTACCAAGGAAAAGATTGCGAACTATTCGGTCTCTCTCTACAGTGTGATCTATTAATTCCGTCCATACTACTAATACAGACTCAATGTTATTGCATATTCGAATCAGCCACTGCAACAAAACAGAATGTTACTTATTGTCAGAACTTAAGAATATTCAAATCTTCACATATAAAACAACCATCGCAAGTATAGCTTACCCTAGCAATTCTCGCATAGAGCTCCGGATCCTCTATTTTATTAACGTATGGAGTAACTTGTTTTTGAAAAAGCCGAAAGAGTTTTTGTAGCCGTTCTTCATTATACCTTTGGTCTAATAAACCTTCAATGAATGTGTACTTTGGATCCAATAAATGGGCTATGGCAAAAATCTTCAACCAGTCAAATGAACCCGAAGAAGAATTATTTCTAACTAAGGCGAACGTGGCTGCCAAGAAAGTATCGTGCGATTCAACCGGCACTCGATCTGGGTTATATTTTTCAAGACTCTCGATGAAGTGACTTGATGGAAAATCGGTGGGTAACACATAAATGTTCCCAAAAGAAATCCTTGGGCGAGTAGTGACATAATAGCCCAGTAGGAAACACATAAAAATTCGTTTTTCTTTTGATTTTATTTCCAGTGAGTTATCGATAATAAACCTACAGTTCATTCCAAATTTCGTGTAATTTGGAAATTTCTCTGCGAGATTTTGGAACTCTAAGATTACTTCTTTGACGTTGTCGGATGTTAACGAATGAACGAGGAAATCCAAAAATGTGTGATCACGGCTTTCAATTTCCTTCAAGATATAAACATTACGTTCAACTCTTATCTCATGAACAATATCAAACTGATTACCGCCTCTAATGTCCAAGTTACGAAGTTCCCCATCTTCGAAATAAAAGTCACCATCTTTGCTCGTCCTTCTGTCTGAAGAGCGATAAATGCCATAACGGTATTTAACTCCTTGTTCGAAACTAGCAATAGGTATTGAGATAGGTTCGGAGGACCAGTGTATGCCGGCGGTAGGATAGAAATATGAATTCGAACGATTATATATTTGCTGAAGTTGAATAATTGGATCTGTCCATTTACCTAACTCTTTTATATTACCAACGACAACAGGTTCTCCCACGTTTTCAATGGATCTTGGAAGGTGAGCGTGAAAAATAACCTTGACAAATTCCGAAGAACCATCTTTTTCTCTCCAGGAAGAGGGTAGAATCGTTTTGATCATATTTTTTGCAAAAAATCCTTTTGAAGCATTTTGTTGGCCAACATTTTGATCAAATATAATTTGAGTTGACGTTGGTCCCTTTTCTTCTTCTTCTCTTACACCGGGGCCCTCGACTTCACGTACACTTTCACCATTACCATCCATTACTTGCAACACCGCATCGAAATCACTTCCACTTCCAGGAACGCTTGGCGAATCAAATGATAAAGCCTCGTTTAATGCATGTTGATAATTCAATATACCTTTGTCAGGATTTTCGCTTTGCAAAGAACCTTCTTCAAAATTGGTGCTCCCTCCTTCAAGTAACGAATGTTTTAGATCAATACTCAGGTCTAATGTTGTCTCAGATCGATCCTTGTCATCAAGAATACCATTGTTATCATTATTCCCGTCATTCGGAACCGATTCCATCCTTTACGACAATTTATTCACCAAGAGGATGGGATTTTTTATACCAAGATATGAATTTCTCTTAGAACTTCCAGCGCAATTAAAAAAATTATGTAAATCAAAAGAGGGAACAATTATTATACGCGGAAACTTTTGCACAATCTCAAATCGCACTTTATTTATGGTGGCGTGAATGGAACTTATTCAGAAAGTAATAAAGTGCTCCGAAACTCCGTGAACATTCTTTACGTATCAGACAAAACTACCTGTGTTACATACGAATTAAATTGTATACAATAAATAATGCTAAAACTCCCATTATCTATTTTCCAGAAAAGTAATAAAAACTTGGAAGAAATTAACGATTAGCGTCTTGTAACACGAAGGGTGCGTCATCAAATCGGAGCTACTGATTTATAGCCTATTTTTAGCTAAAAAAAATTTTTTTTTGATAGGTAATACAAAAAAATTAATTTCAAAATTTTAAATAATAATTTTTAGTTAAAATTTATTAAATTTATTAAAAATAATATTTAATTACTTTGAATCCTTTGTTAAGCTAGTTATATGTTTTTTATTAAACAATTGTTAATTGTATATAAAGTTAATTTATAATTTATTCACTTGTTTTTATCAATTTATGATTTTAAATACAATAATTTATAATTCTATTTATAGTTCAAATAAATATATTTTTAATTATAAAAAAAAATTATAATCAATTATTTAATAATTAGTTTTATATTAAAAAAAATTTTTTTTATAATATTTATAGTTAGGTTAAATAATAGTTTACTATTAATTTTTAAAATTATATTTAAATATAAATATTATATTTAATCAAATTATTATAAGTATAAAAAGTCTTTAAATCAAATCTTAAAAATAATATTTTACTTCTAAAAAAACTTTAAATAAAAATCTTTTTAAATCTTTTTTTTTTTTTTATTTTAACCGCAACTGGTATTAGATGCAAGCTTTATTAAAGAATTAACTTAATTTGACGAATAATTAAATCCTACAGCAGTTACATCAATTATTTTCTACAAGCCATATATTTCTATATCTATGCAGCTTAATGATAACCTATCACGATTTGTCCTAAATAGACCTGCAACCACTCTGTAAGTGGACAGACCTAGTTAAGGACCGGATGGTCAAATACACAATCATCAACGGCGAGTCAGGCTAATTTAGTAATGAGCTTTTATAAATTTTTGTATTATATTCATTAAATTAGTCTATTAGTATATACCCGACAGGATATGTAACGCCCTCCAATATTCCCAGATATACTGTATTATTTGCTCAGATCTTGGAAGGGAGTACTTTTCTTCTTTGTCACCACCTGTGGCATCGGATCAGTCCCTATTAACTGATTTTCAATTAAGCGGAGCATCAGATTGGGATATCCTGAGCTAGGAAAGCGAAAGTCCTAGAGGTTGCCGGGTCAAAGTGAGGTTTTGGGGTGTTTGTGGAAGGTTAGATCAGAAGCCTTTCTTCATGAAATCCTTCTGGTAGTACGATCATAGATCTCAGCCCTTGATCGATGGAAGGCCAGAAGTCCCATTTTCATGTAGTCTAACTTGATTAGAACTTGTTCTGAATGATTGGGTATGACTTTCACAGGATAACCGGTCAAACCTGATCAGAAGAAAAATCTTTCTAAATCTTTTTATTATAGTTAACAATTTGTTTCTATAATATATTTTATCAAATTATTGATTAATAAAAAACTACAAAAGAGAAATAAAATAAAATAAAAAAAATATATATAAAAAATATAACTATACTATAAGAAAAAAAAAAAAAAAAAAAAAAAAAAAAATAAAAAAAAAAAATAAAACAATACTATAAGAAAAAAAAAAAAAAAAAAAACTCTTTCTGCTAATTCACATTTTTTAAAAAAAATTTCTTTTTTGGTAATTTTCTTGAAAAAACTCACAAAAACTCTTCTACACAAGAAAAAGTCTCAGAGAATACAACTATATACTTCTAAGCAACAAAATCTACTTGATAACAACAGGAAAAGAGTTTCGTTCAGCCTAAAAGACAAAAATCTCTAAATCATTTTTTGCTTTTAGGAAAGAGAAAAAGCAAAAACAAGTTAATTCACAGTAGGCTTCTTGAGACCCAACCTCAACTTCACAAAGCTCTTAGCCAGGTCAGTGTAGGTTAACACCTTTTTAGGCATTAAAAGAAGTTTCAGAAGCAATAGATTAAACTGATAAATCAGCACAACTTCAAAGCTAACTGAAACCCAGGAGGATGTCCAAGTCTCTTTGGTCAAACAGCTAAAAGAATCATAACAACACAACAACTCCAGATCAATTAATTCAATTCCCGCAAATAAGAACACGTTAACTTTTCACCTAGTTGACGCGTATCAAAGCAAGCTGATCAACCTACAACAAAACAATAAAATGTGACAAATCAACAAACTAGAACATGTAGGATCAACTGGCATATGTCATCTAAAGCAAGATCAACAGTTGATCACAACCAGTTACGTATTAATAAACAAATACTAGACGTGTAAATATATAGAAGCCACATGTCATAGACTTATTAATACCAATATAGCAACTTATTGTCATATACGCCAAACAGAAAAATAATAAACAATAGTATTTATCTGATCACGTATTTAAAAAGACACTTATATAATAATAACACTTATTAAAAATCTTTTATATATATCACATGACAACATGTCAACGAAAGAATAAACAATAATCAAAATCTTAGAAAGAAGAGAAAAGAAGCTATTGAAAGTATTGAAAAAAATAGCTTCTCATCAAGATTCTCAGCAAATACTTTGTGAAACAAGAATAATACAACATGAGCTGAGACCAACAGCAACCAATCAATTCCATATCCCTATTGAGGCAATACATGTTCCCTCAATACTAGATAATATTATTGCCAGTCTATGGAGAATAGATCCATTGGTGATAACAAAAGAATGTATGTTGTGACAATATATTCTTACTCTCTGGGAAAAGGGACAAGGTAAAAAGGAAGATTTGGAAGAACCTATGTTAAAAGAAAAGGTGTATAACATATTGACAAGCAAATCAGTAACACAGGAATCAAGCTCTAATCAAGTTGAAGTGTCTATGACAGAAAGTACACTCAATGGAAGTTAAACCAATTTCTACAGAACTTAAAGAAGTGTACTTCATTAAAGAAGTCATAATAGAGGATAAATAAGTAGTAGAACAAATAGAAACAGAAGTGTTAAAAAAAACCATGCAGGAAAGCTGTATTACAGACAGCATGTTTTATAATACAAGAAACAGGATTCAAGGAACAACGATAAATCCATTCTTCATAAAACAATAGGGATCAATCAAGGTGAGGGTACTCCAAGTCATGTTGTCAGGAGAAAATAGAGAAGAGGGAATTACATATCTTAAAGGAGCTCTTAAAGTATCTAAGTGAATGAATCCCTTCAAAACAGAATTTATTAATGGCAACCATTGGATTACATTTGGTTTTGATGAAGAAGAAGATATCACAAGATGTTTGGAGGCTGTTAACAAAAAAGAAGCTAAGAACTTTACACTTAGAAGAATAGACAAAGATATGAACACATGTTCAGCCTTCCAAAAATATGCTCAAAACAAAAAGTTCTTTAAGCCAGAAAGTTTTCCATCAGCTAAAAATAGATCAAAATATATCACATTGATAGATA